CCGCGCGCCTCCCGGGCCGCCAATCGGCGGCGGCGACGCAGCCAGGGCTGCGGGCAGCCAATCCGCGCGCCGCTTGGTGACCGCAGGGGAGGCGAGCGGCAAGATGGCGGCGCCGGGAGAGGCGGCGGCCGTGGTGGCTCCCTCGCAGCCCGAGGTGGCCGCGGGCTCGGCCGCCTCCGCCGTGGTGCTGCCGGAGCGGCTGCAGCGGCGGGAAGCGGAGCGGCAGCAGGGCGTGGAGCGGCAGCGGCAGAAGAAGGAGGCGCAGGTAGTGAAGGAGGAGCAGAGCGAGTTCTTCCTGGCCGCCTTCGGCCGGGAGCGGGAGGCCGTGGAGGCGCTGCTGGCGGCGGGGACGCTGGAGGAGGCGGCCGCCCGCCTGCAGGCGCTGCAGAAGCTGCTGACGGGCAGCGTGCGGTTCCTGGCGCCCTACGAGGTGCGGCAGGGGCAGGAGACCGTGGCGCGGCTGCAAGGGGAGCTGGCGGCGCGGCGGCAGCAGCTGCAGCCCAAGAAGAAATTCGCCTTCCGCGCCCTCAAGAAGGAAGCGGCCCCGGGCAGTGCCCCGCGCCCCGCCGAGCCCGCCCCGCCGGACCCCGCCGCGCCGGGCCCCGGCCTCGCCGAGGGCGAATCGGGCGGGCCGCCGCTGTGCGGGTTCAGCGGCGCCCAGGACGAGGAGCTGGAGCTCGGCCCCGCGGAGCTGCTGCAGCGGGACGTGCTGCTGTCGGAGCTGCGCGGCTGCCGGGTGCGGCTCCGCGGCAACCCCAACACGCTGCGGGTGCGCGACTGCAGCGGCTGCACCGTGCTCTGCGGGCCCGTGTCCACCTCCGTGCTGGTGGACGGCTGCAGCGACTGCCTGCTGGCGCTGGCCTGCCAGCAGCTCCGCACCCACCGCACCCGCGACTGCCGTGTCTACGTGCAAGTCACCAGCCGCGCCGTCATCGAGGCCTGCTCCCAGGTCTCCTTCGCCCCCTACTCCTGGAGCTACCCTGGCATCGAGCGAGATTTCGAGTCGTCTGGGCTGGACAGAAGCAGTAACAACTGGAACCTGGTGGATGACTTTGACTGGCTGGCGAGTGACAGGCCTTCGCCCAACTGGAGCCTGATCCCCGAGCAGGAAAGAATCACTTGCTGGGACTGACTGCGGAGGCAGCTCTGCCGTGCAGGAGATCCTCGTGTAAACGCACTGGTCCACAAACTGTGGGACTTAATCCACAATATGCCATTAAATGATGCCATTCTGTATTCTAATTTCAAATTATAATATATGGCTGGATTTCTTAGCTGAAGCATACCAGTCAAATAGAGTTTACTGTTCTTGCACAAGTTGCTGCTATAATCTGTATGTATCACTGGGATTTGGCAATTTCTGAAGTACTTCAATGTGAGTTACAACTTATTAAGGTGGGACAAAGGCCACTGATACACAAACAACAGTGAGCCTCTGTTAGAGCTGTTGTGCTGCTTTCACTCACTCAGGCAGACTGAATGAGCTGCAAATAGTGCAAACTGTACTGGAATGAAAAGATCAAATACCAAATTTCCCATGTTTGTGTGGTTCTCATGTTCTGACGGCAGCACAGTGTATCTTAGGGGCAGTGCAGGGCAGAACTGCTGTGAGGTAACGGGGTGAATAAAGGTTCACTAAAGGGAGGGTTTGTAACTGTGCAGTGCAGCAGACTGAGATGCATCCTAGGCTGTGGTACAACGATGGGCCAGTTCCTGTTGGTTTGGGTTAAATCTGCAAGTTGGCTTTAGGCTTTTATTTCAAGTGAGAGAAGTCTAAAGGAAGAAGGTTCTAATAAACATCTAATTCTCTCCTAATATATTGATTACTTGAAATTCAGAAACCTATGGAGTCTGTATAAATACCAAAGCTTCACAATCTAGAAGTGCCCTGTGAAAGGATGCTGCTTCCGTGAGCAGCTCAAAGGCATCCAGCAAGTGCTGATGAGCACCACAGAAGTTGGGTTAACTGTTCCACTGCAAGATGAAGCTCCAGGGGAGTGGTGTTCAGGGGTGTCCCACTAGTTTCCAGACAACAGGCTTTGTGTGCTGTGATCCTGATTTGCAGCACTGTGCTGCTGCGTACATGCAGTGTTGGCAGAGAGAGTCAGTAAAACAGAAAGGTGAGGTGCTATATTCCAATTCCAAGTTTGCATATTACCTTGCATAAAGGGCAGGATAATTTAAGTCTCTTCACTCCTGCTGAATAATAATAAAAAAGTAGCAGCACTATGGAATGCAATGTCTTTACAGTGCCCTGTTAGTGGTGCTGAAGTGACCACTGCCCATATATAAAGTATAAATAGCAGTTTTAGGTTTCTAAAACCCCTCCTTAACTTGTGACATTTTTCAAGAAATAATTGTTTATCTTGCCTTAGCATAAAGCTTTATTGTAAAACTTAAAATTCTTTATGCTGTGCAGCCATCATCTGTGTGCCTCAAACAGACACTAAATCCTAGGTGAACCATCAAAAACTACATCACTGCCAGGAGAAGTACCTGAAACTTCACTTAGGTACTTGTCTGGTTTTGAGCAGAAAATTTTTTTACACAAGTTGTTTTCAGCATATTTAATTTAAAGGGGAGGGCAAAAGGGATTTTTTTTATATTCCTGACAATTTTCAGTTTTGTTTACTTCTGTTAATGTATATTTTTTGACTGAATTGGATTTTGCATTTCAAATATACTTGTTTTGAATTATTTTAGTTGTTCCTTTACTAATGAGACTTCTTTGCACTGACAGTATGATAAAATTATTTAAAGAATACACCCTGAGTCTTGCTTTAATGTACATAATTTATATCCTTTGTTAGAGGGATGTGATCAGTTGAGGCTGTCTGGTTATTTTAATTTTAACACATCCATTTTGTTACAGAGCCTGATTT